TGGGCTCTGGATCCAGCCTCCCTAGCCTAGGTTTAAATCCTGGCCACCTTTTTTAGCTTTCCCCATCTTTAAGATGAAGATCACAATAGTGGCTACCTTGCAGGGCTGTTAGGAGAATAAATTAGTAAATATCTGTAAAGCATAGAGAAGAGTCCCTGCAATGAATATGAACTCATTATTATTATGTAATAATCCTAGAGCTTCTCCATCACTCTGAGATCATAACTTCCTGTTTAATATGAGGATGATGAAAGCCTTCTAGAGGTTACTGTTGGATGACACGTGACCCCTGGGTGTGCAGTTCCCAGCACATCTCCTGTCACACAAATGTAGCCCTGCGTAAGGCTTCCTGGTGTTTCTAAACATTTGAAAGACTTTTTTTTATGATTCCATCAACTCATGGGCAAAAGCATCTGCTAGCACAGTCGTTTCTCGCCTCTCTCTTGCTCCTGGCCAGGTGTAGAGCATCCAGGAGCAGTGCTGCCCTGCAATAGAGCAGTCAGTCCTGCAATAATGGCTGCATTTCTGGCCCCTCCTGGGCCGTGTTTGTGACTCAGTAAAAGCAGAGTCTCAGGGAAGCTACAGACGTGATGTGAAAGACTCTCCTACTGCTCTCCAGCCCCACTCTGGCTGCAAAAATGAAGTGCAGGGAGAATGAGTGAGGGTTTCCTGTATGCCACATCTATTAGAATGGAACTATTTTTTAAGGAATAAGAAATAGTGCCAAATTATATTGATATGATAGGCATTTTCTTACATTGCATATAACGTGCTTTGGTTTTTATCTTTTTGGGGGAAGAATAAGGAGAGGATAAGAACTGTATCCCCTAGGGAAGGAATATTAAAATCTATTTAATTAAATCTCACATTAAAGTTAAAATTACAGGGCTTCCCTGGTGGCGCAGTGGTTGAGAGTCCGCCTGCCGATGCAGGGGATGCGGGTTCATGCCCCGGTCCGGGAGGATCCCACATGCTGCGGAGCAGCTGGGCCCGTGAGCCATGGCCGCTGAGCCTGCGCGTCCGGAGCCTGTGCTCCGCAATGGGAGAGGCCACAACAGTGAGAGGCCCGCGTACCGCAAAAAATAATAATAATAAAAAAATAAAATTACATGGAGTGCTTTATTCTCCTTTGTTTGTAATTCAAGCACAAGAGATATTTAAAATCGCTGAATCAATTCCTTTATGAAAAATATGACCTCTATACCTTGCT